TGAAAACACCTTCATCAGGAAATTCGGAGGGAGGTCATCTCCCCCCCCACGACACAATCGGTGTAGCCACTTTCCATTAGAGTATAGGAAGCTTCAGGAGCCCAACATCCCACGCTGACATCAAACTGCTAAAACAGGAGTTATCAGATGGAACGCGTGGGTCAGCATTGTGCCTCGAGACATAAAAAGGACCTTGGTATTAATGTGAGGAAATGTGACTATTGTGTGCAGAATGATACCCATTCAGGCCCAGACCACTTGTCTCTGGACGCTACTCTCTCTGGAATATCCTTGGCGCCAGCATCTAGCATTTCTCCTCGTCCCCTTAAAGAATAAAGTCATCTCAGCAGGGGCAGGGCCAGGAGTTAGAGCACAGTGTTTTCCTCGGAGCAGCAGCGTCGGGCGTGCACGTGTGTGCCTCTGGAGTGGATTACAGGAAACTGTTGATTCTCCGTATCTAGGAATGATCAATTGTCCAGAGGGTGGAACAGGCTTTAATTTCTCATGAAGCGTAAATCGTGTTCCGTTATTTCCCCCCCCACGCCCCTACAAAGCCACATCCTGCTTTCCAATTGGCTTTCACTGCCATCAGGATTTTGCCTTCTTCCCCCCAAAAGAAACTGCTTCAGGCACCTCTCTGCAGCTAAACCCTCTGGTACAAGCATCAGCTGTAAGTGGCAATGCATACTACGGAAGTTAAGCAGCTACAGCCCCACAAATCCCTGCTAAGTTGTGCCCACGTTTAGGAAAATAGCCAGCGCAAACACGTCTATTGCAATCTGGTGGAAGGAGGTGATGAACCGTTTTAAACCCCCAAGCTGCAAGAACGAGGACCAAAGAATTGTTTCTAACCCCCAAACTGCAAGAATAAGGTCCAAACGGTGAAAATACTTGCCTGGCTGATTTAAGGGGGCTGCCAAGCAGGTGAGAACAGCAAGGCTGTGGACCTGCACACTTAACAGACCCGCTGCAACAAGTGAGGCTTGCATTACTTGTCCACCAACTTAAAGACTCAACCTAAACCAGACTGCTGCATTCATTCACAGGGATTTATTTCCAAGTGTGCTGCAGATAAAGCAGCGAGTGGTTGAAATCACTAGTTTGATGTGATTCAGCAACAGGCTGAAGGGATGCAGGTATGTACACCCGCAGCCCAGGCTCCAGGGGGATTTATGGAAAAGCCCATGTATAAAACACAAAGAGAGAGTCAAATTGACATCCAGATAGCACTAGGACGGAAGGATTAATACACTTCTAACTAGGTGAGATAATAGGAAAGCAGTTGCAAAGCCACTAGAGAGCTAAGCTGGTAGCTATGAAATAAGCAGGGCTCGTAGCACAGTGGTCTGGAGAGGAAAGAGATCCCCCCACTGCACACCAAGACCTAACGTTGTACACATTTATTGTGACTTCAGAACAAGTTTGTGTCTGCAAACCATCCTGATCTTCCCCCACAAATGCAGACCCCGGGTCAAAAAGCATCTAGCTTCACACAAAGGCTCACCTTCATGTTGAAGCTGCTAGCATTTGCTGAAAACACAAGTATTACCACCAAAACCTAAGCTAGAAAGATGAGAGGCTGAAGAGAAAAGCAGTTTTCACCAGCTGCTGCAAGGAAGGAACAAAACACCCAGGAGTAAGGACCCAAGTGTCAAGATTAAGAAGCATCAGTGCCTAGGCATCTGCACTGATTTGGGCCCAATATTCTGTGCAACAACAGCCATTATTAATTAAAAATGAGACAGGCCATACCTTAAACCCTAAAATTTCTTCAAGCTCTCCTGTTTTCTACCCAGCTGTGTGCACAGCCCAGCATTTTATGACAATGGCTAATTGTCACAGTTTTATGGGCCGTGCTATGTTTTGTTGGCTCAACGTTTAATCCCACGCAGTGATCTCTTTAAAACAGAATGATAGTAAAGTGCACCCAATTATGTTCATAGCAAGCTGTACCTATATCATACAGAGACTAACAGCTTGACAGGATGATGGCAGAGCTGTCACCGCATCTGTAATTCCACTTAGGTCGCCTGCCAGGACCCAGACCCTGGGGTACCAACTTATCCTCTCCCCAGATGGGATTTTTGGATCTATCAGCCCTACACTAAGGTGAGCAGCAACCTCACAGCAGCTTGCCAGGAAAGGTCTCAATCAGGAGAGAATTTGGATACCACATTCAGCCAAGAAAGCAAACAGTGATGGCTGGAACACGCACAGAGACTCACAGATACGACATTTGTCTTGTTTCAAGTCACCCTAGAGGTTTTCCCTGCTGGATATTGAGCAAATGTATTTCATGCAGCAAGTACATGTGACACTAGGGAGCAAATCAACAAAAGCAGCACTGGAGAGCCCTCTTTGTACAAGAGGGCCCACGCTCGGTCCTTCTCTGCCCAAGCCCCAGCAAGCATTGCATGACACAAGAGCACAATGTCAAGCTCTCTGGTACAAGGAAGCCTTCCAGCTCAATAAAGGTTTTGCACAGCTTGGAGAAAGCAAGAAAATGGCATGAGGATGGAAAGATGTCATTCCCACACTGGCTTTCCTCCGTGTTTAAAGAGCACCAGAGGATCCTGGTGCACTAGGTCCCTTAAGGGTTGGAAATGAGGTGTTTAGGGGGATGTTGCATTGCCAGGACAAAACCTGCTTTCTTTTCAGCTTGCCTTGCTGGAGACAAGCACTGCAGGTGCTCAGCTCCACAGTTCTGCTCCAGGAATGCAAAGCCTGAGTATAAAACAAAACTCCCAGAGAGCAGCAGCAGTGCAAGGGCATGTCTGGAAAGCAGCTCCTTGCAGAGCTGAACAGTATTCTCCCAGACATACCTCAGCCATGGCATAGTTAAACCTCAGTTCTGGAAGGGGCTTGAGGAAGCTTGTGAAGAGGGTCTTTTTACCAGCAGTTCGGGCTACTTTCATTAGAAGAGCTTAAGGGGCTCATCTCAGCCACTTCCAACCACCCCAGAAGTCAGCTTCCCAGGAGGATCAGCTATGCTCTCTGTAGCCAGAGACTGATTTGGTGTGTATAAAATCCACCCTGGAAGAGGCTTCAGTAAAACCACCTCCGAGAAAGAGCTGACAGCCTAGAAGACTCAAACACCTGGAGTCTGAGGAATTCTGTGCCTGATAGAGAAGAACCTGGATTTTAGCTACCTGGGCTGCTCTGATATCATAGAAAAGAAGAAAAAGAAGTCTTACTTGACACCTCCTCTTACTGAAAGTCTGGACTTTTGCTCTGCCCAAAGCCCATTTTTAAAACGTGCATCCTCACATTTGTACAGGGATTCCAGCACATCAGAAACCCATTTTTCCCTAAGAATGCTAAACATCTCAGCTGAAGAAAAAGGACACAACTAATCCCACCATCACAAACATCAGCGCTTCAGGGAAATAAGGAAGCCTTTTTTTGTCCTGTTTTGAATGGAAGGGAAAACAACTATCAAAAGTCCAGGAAGACACACAAGGAAAGTCAGCTTCTTCAGACACTGAAGAATCCACAGCACTTGCATTCCTCATCCCCAAACAATGCACCCCACGGCATTAAGCCCAGACTTGCCATAGCGGAGCACAGTTCCCTTTAAATCTTTCCATTACGATGGCATTTGTAAAATTGCAGGCTTGAAAATTGCTAGATGTTATTCCTCAGTTAAAGTCACTGCTCTGATTCAAAAAGCAGACTTCGAGATAGCAGAGCAAAGGTCTGGACCATGCCTATTCTGCATCACCATTTCCAATATTCACTCACTATAGGTCAATTATGATCTAAAAATAACTTAAAGGACTCTCCAACACTGTGACTCCAGAGACAGTCCAGAGCCCTTTCATTTACTATCCAAAATAGTGCCCACACAGGCTCCAGGATGCCTCCAGTTGCTGGAATGACACCCAGGCTGCTGCATTTCCCAGCATGTCCCAGAGCTGCATTTTCCAGCAGCCGCACCATTTAGCACACGTGTTACAGGGGATGTTAAATGTGTGCCGGAGGCAAAAGCAACCTTTAGAGTAGTAAACCATGGATTTTACCCCTTGACAGAAAGCAATGTAGATACCTACACAGTTTGTGTCAACTAGGCTGTTTGGAAGTCCCCTCCACCTTGGGCAAAGCTTCTAAAGGATGCTGGCTTGGCAGGGAGCACACAAAGAATACAGTTTGGGCAGATATGTCCATCTACAGCACAGCTTCACATTCGAGAAGCAGCACACTACCACTACCAGCAGTAAGAGCCTTTAAGTCCCAGCCAGATGGAGCACTCCCTGCCACTTGCTTTCTGATCAACATTCCTCTACCCCCTCCCAAATCGCTTGGCACACAGGAGCAAAGCCACCACTCCGAGCTGACACTGCAGCTCACCGAGGATGGAAGCCTTGGGAATGCTTTTCTCTGCTGTGTTCCCCCCCCAGCAGGCACCACCAGCAGCAAACACCATGTTCCTCCCTCGCAGGAAGCTTGCAGCAGGTACTGATCCTACCAAAGCACATCTGGGGGAGAACTTGGCAGAGGTGCCTGAGGCTGGTTTTCTCCTCATGTTTGCTCTCTGCCTCCACACAGCAAGCGCAGGGATTGCTTCCCGCCAGCCAGGGCGATTAACCCCAAAAGGCACACGCCGTAAGCCCCAA